TGAACATTATGTGGACTTAGGAAGTCTTTAAAAGTAATACATTGTGAACAAATCAGACCACAACATGATTTTGAAAGAGCCCTGTGAGTCACTTACAGCCTGAAAAAGCTGATATAAAGATGAGACATGGGTCCAAACAATTATGAGCGTAGTTCGAGATGTGTGTCAATGCTGAGGGGAGTATTTTTTCATGGACCAGTCTAGTTTAGCATCTGTGGACTTTTGAATTCACTGGTTAAATAAATGGGGCTCATGCGCAAATGCATTTTTTCACATTTTCCAGCCCCCGCGGCCTTTTTGAAAAAGCCCACAGAAGGCAAAAGTGATGGCATATTAGTTTCAAACAGTGGGGGCAGGTTTCGGCTCAAAAGTGGCCAAAATGACGTGCACTGACATGCTTGCAATACCACCCCGGACCAATGGGGGTGGACCCAGAAGTAGAATTAGCCAATGCTAACATAGGCAGACCTATCAAAAACGTCTTTACAGGATGGTCCAAAAGTTGGCTCTTGGCCCAAAGCTCCGTTCCACATGTGTGTCAATGCTGAGGGGGGTGAATTTTTTTGGACCACTCTAGTTTACTTGCTGTGAATTTTTGAAGTCTCTCGTTCAAATGAATGGAGCTGCGCCGGCTGACGCATGCGCAGATGCGTTTTTTCACAATTTTCTTGTGGGCGGGACCACTTGCGGCCATTTTGGATAGCTCCAGTAGAGCACATTTTTTGGCCCATTAGTTAGAACGGCGGAGATAGACGTGACTCTGTCCGTTAATATTTACAGTCTATGTTCCAAAAGGCATCCATGAAAAAAAAAGTTTTGAGAAACATTGATTTTATTTGTATACTTTTTTGCCATTCTATAGTGAGGTAACCCTGTTTTGGTACATTTTCAAGACTCAAAAGTAGAAGTTTTTGAGGCATTTGATAAACAAAAAGAGTGGAAGTCTGCCACTGAAATATGTCAGATAATTAAGCAATACTAGCTTTAAACAAAATGTGTGTATTGAATCCGTTCATTTGTATTTGTTTAAGAATAACTGACACATTAAGGGATGAATAAACAAAAAGATTGATTTAGGGAGAAGTTAGTTTTGGAAATACTGAATAATTACAGTGTATGAATCTGCTTTTTATGTACAAACCAGAACAATGACAACTTTTTCATATATCCAGGTGAACAACATTTTAAGAAAAATATTCTCACAGATGGAAGCTAAATGAAAAATGCAACATGCAAATATATTTTCTCATCACATAGTATGAACACTTCTGCGAACATAGCATTTTTCTGTTTTCCATCTCTTTTCCCAGATTCTTGACTTTCATTGTGCTTGCCAGTCCCATCTCCCCAAGGCCGTGCATCTGCCGTGTGAAGGTGCAGGAAGGAGTATGTCACATTTGCGAAGCCGGCACAGTGCAAACAGGGGGAAAATGACGCAATGGTCAGAAAAACGCTGGGGCGGCGGAGGCTTTTACGAGGGCCAGGCTGTGGATGAACCTGGGCAGATGTTCCATTGTCACGCAGCCAGACGCACACATGCACCAGGCCAGGGCCAAACACACCGCATCCAACCCCAGTCAAATATGTATGCATTTGCATTAGAACTATGTGGTAGAATAAACCCAAAGCCATATTTCAGAAATGCTGTATGTTTACTTTCCGTGCAGTTTTTTGTTTCCTGTAAGGATCTCAAACATGCGCATTCTATACCAATGGTTCTTAATATTTTCATTTTAGAAAACATGGGCCTTAATACTTAATTCTTCCATTTTCATTATGCTAAAATAAAAGTATTTTATTTTATCTTAGTATAGAGTTATTGTTCATGTATCTTGTGTTTATCTTAGTGCTTAGTACAAACAAAGGAAGGTTGCTCACCCATCATCTGTAATTTAAAATAGGCTCTAAATGACACTATAGAGTAATATATGTAAAATATAGTAGTTTGCATGAAGATTAAACCAAAAGATAATTATGTAATTTAGTCCCACTCAAAAAATGACCACACCCAAATGTGGTCATTTGTCACACTTCTTAAAGTAAGCTACACTTCTCCATTAATCTAAACTCTGAATGACAAAGTACAAAAAATGAGTTATATATGAAATTACTATAATATTTTTTTTATGATGTTGATAATCATGGCTCACACTTTGAATGAACCGGAAATAAAACTTGTACCTGTACATTTACTCAAATAAATTAAAAGCATTCAAAATAAACAAAAACAAACAAAAATACAGTTTGAAAATGGGGTGAGTGAAGAATATTGTTAGCCATTATAACAAACAAAGGCTCATATGTCACTTTGCATTTAATGTGTCTGCAACATTTTTTTAATTATCTCATTTTTCTAATTTTCACAAGTAGAATGTCCCTTTCTAAAAGTGAATTTACTTTTACTCGATATTCACATTTTTTGTATCTTACGAGTATCTTAATCAACTATTCCCTTCCATTTTTTCTTCTTTAATGCCATGAGAGAGTGAGAAGAGAAAACATGAGAGAGGACAGAGGAAAGGAGAGAGAGGAGAGAGGGAAGAGAGGAGAAAGAGAAGGAGAAACATATATGCACCTTTAAACGAGTTCTGCAGGTACATTTTAGCAGGATTTTGAAGTCATTAGGATGATAAAAGAAGTTAGACATTGACTTTGGGCATTATTATCCATGTGTTACCAAACCTGGCAAAACCATTATAATATTTGTGCAATTCCTTATACATTTTTACCATATCAACACCAAGTTTTAATCAACTCTACTGGGTTTTTGATCATTTAGTTTTCAAAAACACTTGGAAATCAATGTATTTAATAAAATATCAACCCACATAAAAAATGTGGTCCAAAGTGATCATTATTGTTGAAATTTGACTTACTTTACTCCACAGTGAAAAGTTAATCAATATTCCTTTATTATGCTGAAGTGAACTGCTATTTATTATTTTCTCTCCTTCCTTGACTCTGTTTTGTGAATGACTGCATGAGGCTTGTCTGAACGTTATCCCTCCATGGATTTCTTGCCGCACTTCTGAAGAGGACAGTGAGACAACTGCTTTAAAGTGCAGTTAAAGGTAAGGAGCTTTTAAGAGCGAGCACTGGATCTTTGAGAACATTCCTGAGGCCCTTTTCCCTCTTTTGGAGGAGCCCAGCCAGATAAAAGGAAACACTCGGGTGGATTAAAGTGTTCAGAATGTATCAGCATCAAACCACTGGAGTTTTTGCCCTCTACATTTTTCAAACACAGTCAATAGATCTAAATATTTTACTGTGCCCAGGCCGATTTATTGTTTGATGTTTAAAAACTTGTGCGGAATGAAAGAAAATTCATTAAAAGAGTAGGCCCCAGAACGAGGTCCTGCGATCAGCTTTGAAAGTCTGGTTTAGCTGGAATATTGATCATTCTCTTTCTTCTGTGACAAAGGCCACCAGGGACGCTGGAGGTGTCAGTGGATGAAGGCGATGCCAATAACTGCAGATGGGAATGTGTAAAGCCGAGGTGAGGCTGGGAGTAACATTCTGACACACATAGATCCAATACGTCAGAATGACCAGACATCACAACACTCCAGTGAGGGCTAATGTTCACTCATGCAGGGAGCTTATGACGCCTATCAACTCTCTCATCACAGGCTAGTCAAATCATTGTGTCAAACATTCAACAACAGATACCACACTTTTATGTGTATTTGCTTTCAGTCAGAGAAATGTAACATATATACCAATTAGTTACACATGTTTATTATAATCTGTGATGCTATTGGAAAAGGAGTATATATCTAGTTAAAGTTGTTAACAGCCAAGGTAGGGGTGGGCGATATGGCCTAAAATTCATATCGCGGTATAATTTGGGTCATAGACGGTAGACGGTATATATCGCGGTATAATTTGGTGTGTGAATTTCAATATAGGTCTAGCAGGTTCTTGCATAAAATAGTCAAGATTGTTAATTATTTATATATTAGAATCTAATATATATATTTTTTGAGTTAGAAAATCAGTTGTGAGACGAATAAAGAGACAAATAACATACATTATTTATGTATGTTACAGTAAATACCATTCACTGTAAAAGCAATTTTAAAAAAGAAAAACATATGCATTCATTTAAAATATAAAAAACTCACAAATGTTGAAATCAAAGTCTGTAGGAGTTAGACATGGTCATTATTTATAGTGTCTGAGAGTTTTGTGCAGGTGCATGACTTCAGTAAAAGCTGTTCGTTTACAAAGCTGGTCTTGACATTTGTTGACGCTCCCTAAGCGCTTTTCTCTGCGCTTGCAGTGAACTGGATGATTCAATGGATTTATGTTCATTAAAACAGGGCATTGGATTTGAACAATTGATGTAAATGGTCATTTTGGCACAAATAATTTTGTTTAACAAAGTAGCTTTCGTGAGATATTGACCGCGGAGGTCCGAATCTGACGCTAACTTTCCCAAACTTCTGCTGTGATGATGCTGCGGACACGGCACACGCTGGCGCTTCGAGCTTACGCCCCTTTGACACTGATTGGCCAAAAGGTAGACTCTTAAACTGTGATTACTGTGTGTGTATTTACCTCTGCTGGGGCCGCTGTGACAACAATACAGAGACAGAAACACGGTGTGAATGCCGTGCTGTTGTTTGTTGTTTCCAGTGGTGTCTGCTAGGCTAATAGTGCTAGGCTAATGCTGCTGAATGCCGGTTTGTTTTGATGCTCTCTGCTGGCGTCAGAGCCTGCGCAATTTAATGACATAATGACCTATCGCAATATGCCGGTATAACAAAAATCTCTACCGTGGGCCAAATTTATACCGTCTACCGCTTATACCGTTTATACCGCCCAGCCCTAAGCCAAGGTGATGGTTCAGTCTCTGGATTGAAGCATGCCTTCCATTCCAAGTGTGTTTTGAACAGGCACATCAGACTCAGCAGGCGGCCGCTCTCCTCTTCTTACTGGTATTGACTGACATGGTTGATGAGGGCCCAGCCTGCTCTTTGGCAGAAGGCTAGAGAAGCATGCAGAGGTGGCACCCACCAGGGTGCAAGGAAGGGACCAAACAGCCGTCGTTCATAGATATTCTGTGCGTGGCTTTACCCTCCTGCTCAGTCAAGGTCTGTGCATGCCTCTCAGAGGGAGCGGACAGGGTCATGGATGACACCGTCTCTGACAAACGTGACAGCACAGCTGGGCTGCCTAATGACAGAGGATCTGGCCCAGCACGGGCCAGGACACTGCGCAGGAAGAGAAGAGGGGCAGCAGCCATGTTGGACGGGCAGATGTTCAGCACAGAAGACAGCTGCACTACAGGGACTCTCAGCTTTTCTCCTCTCAGTAATTGAAAATCATGTAAAAGGTCAATTGTGTGATGCCGCCTGTCCCTCTCTGCAAGTTGTTCCTTTCAGTTTAACATGATAAAAAACTGCACTAACTGGATGACAGCCTTTGCCTCAATTACTGCCTATTTAGAAATGGATGTTAGAGTAATGATGCTATCTGTAAACACTCTCCGTGAATAAATCTGCATACAAGAGGTTCTGGCCATCTGGTGGGGCCACAGACAGGGGTCCCACAGTGGAGCCTAATCATGGGCTACATTAGACAGACACTGTTATGACATTTGGACTTTGTATGTAGGAGAAACTTCACATCCACATGGAGCTGAGCACATCGCGGGGTCTGGGGTCAGTGACTGTCCTGAAAACACAGTGGCCCACTCCCTATGGTGCTCTGATGAGAGCTGGAAAGGCTCTAACCTCCACAAAAATATCTCATGTTTGGGATTGTCTTAAACAAAACCAGCCACACAACTGTCACACCCCATCAGCCTCTCTAAAACTTAAAACTTTGACAGACAGAGGCACAATCAGATCAGGATTGGAAGGTTCCTCCTTGTGTAACACCAAACTTGGCAGCAAAAAACATTTGTCTAAACTCAACACTAGCTTCAAGTGCCTAGTGAAACATCAACGTTAAAAGTGTCCATAAAAACATGCCAATGCATGTTTACTCCTGCAATTAATCTCTAAGTTGTTCATTTTAATGAGAAGCTCAGGGCACAGACACAAACACATGTTTTTAGGAAATCTCTTAAAAAATTCAGCAACAAGTGCTGACATCTGAGCACCAGCACCAACAGGAAGGAAACAATATATTCTATAAACTTTCTGAACTGAGAAAGTGATCAATACCACTTGTGTCTGCAGGAATCCCGCCTTGAGGCAAAGGTCTGTTTGCCTGGTCACAGACTTTTGCCAAGAATGCAATCACAGACTAACCACACACTTGGACTGACACACTGTCGCAAATGATGTTTTGATTCAAACATATTGCAAGTTTTCTCTCCAGCTTGGCTTTCTTTCACTTTGTTTACAGATTCTGAGTAAAACCAGGAGATGCCATTCTTAAAATAAGACGATTGAAAAGTGTGCGCACGACAAACGGCTTTACTTCATCCAGAAGCAAAGCAGTGACCAGCTCAAGTGTGTGGGCGCTTATTACAGTAGATCTAGAGAAGTTTCTTACAAACAGAGCAGCTAATGACTGTGAAGAGGGTCTTATTTAAGGACGATCGATGCATGTGTGTGGATTCTATATGTGTGTGCACATGTGTGTGTGTATATGTGCCACTTGCATCGCAACTGTTCCAATGCAAGTGTGTAGCACCAGAACGAACATTTCAAAGGCAAGACAGCTCCTGGGCTTGCTCAACTTTTGCTTGTTATCAGGAGCTGAGAGTGAAATGGAGAGAATTGATCTTTTGTCTACTGGAGGTGCACTCCCTTGGGCTGGTCATTCGCTCACTCGTGCTCACCCCTCTCTCCCTGTTCACTCACGGGCTCCCTCCCTCGCTGCGTGGCGGCTGCCTCTCTTACAGCTGACACTTGTCCTGCCGTTACTGGGAGAGATGTGCGCTGAGCTGCTGACACCAGGATTGATCTGGCTCCGTTTGCCCATAAGCCCCATATCAAGCTCCCGGAGACTGAGGCAGACAAAGAAGGGTTAGGATGAAGGGATGGGGGTGGAATTGTCAACTCAACTTGGATCTTCAAACTAACAATGTTTGGAGCAAATATATGCAGAGATGATTGGATGCATTTGACAGAGTTTACTATCCAGCAAACATTGTATAAAAGTAAAAGTAAAGTACAAATATTCAAGCATATTTTGAAACGCAATCTCACGTTTTGTACAAGTATTTAGTCAAATTCAATGTCAAGGAAAAAAAACTACTCGAAAATCTATAGAAACAACAAGTCAGGGGAGTAGTGGCTAGCCATCTCCATAGATCTATGGATTTCTGCAGAGTGACCATTCAAGTGCTAAATATTACTGTCTATTATGTAGCAGTCTTATGTGTCCAGTCTGTTCAGATGAACACCCAGGCACTTGTGAGAGTCCACTCTCTCAATGTCACTTCCCTGTATGTTTTTTGGGGCTGGAACAGCAGAGTGGCATCTAGGAAATCCACCTCCATCTCCTCTTCTTCACCAAGTGCTGCGCTAGTTGTTTAATTATATAGAGCCAGAGCTGCAGTCTGAGATCCTCTGTCTCATCACCCATTTGTTCACCTCCACAGAGCAACTTTCAACACGAGCCTCGACTTGGCCTTACATGAAATGTGGGCCAGAACTCTGCCCAATTTTGGGTCAGTCTTAGACCAAGTTTGCAGCAACATTGTATACATGCCAAATTTGTCTTAACTAGAAAACTGTTAGAGGTCTTTTGGTTTTTTCCACATGACTGTTATGGCTGGACTTAATATTTCAAAGTACAATTGGTGGGTGTTGTGCTTCTGGGGCGTACTCCCAAATGGTTTCTTGGTTTGTTATTATAAGACGTCCAGTCTTCTGTGTGCTTTTGACTGGGGGATCTTTTCTGTTATTATTACCCTGCGTTATTGGCATTGGGAGGAGAGTAGGGGACGGGCTATTGGGTTCAACAGTGGGTAAATGGGGAGGAGGGGTTCAGCAGCACACACAATCATCTGCAGGTTAGCCAATTTCAACAATCTGGATGGCCACGGTACCTTGGTAAGCACCAGCAAGCAGTGCAGAGGTGGGCAGAGGAAGATGAATCAAGCTTAATAACAAAAGGTCCTAATTGCCCTCCAACAAGCACCCCCACCCCTTTGCACTTGAACACTAATTACAGCAAGAACACACCACACAGTCACCCAACATTAAGTTGTAGGATTTCCAACCAAAATAATCAATGAGCCCGTTAGTTGTATGGGAGGAAAAGTGGAGAATTAAAATAAAAGTAGAAGGTACCCCTTTTCTTCAATAAGAACAAACTAAATCAAAATCCCAAAAACTAAATCACAAGGCACAAACACAAATATGCCTTCCATATTAAAGGACAACTCACCCTCAAATCCACTTTTTTTTGCTGATAAACGATTTAAATGAGGGTCCAATAGTGTTGTCTACATATCCTGGTCATAGTTTTTTCACTTTGGTGCAAATTAGTTGAAAGTCAAACTTTCTGCCTAAAACCGTCTGTGAGGCGCCATCTGCTGGCGACCTGTATTACTACATTTGAATTTTGAATCTGGCGCCAACACTGGCACAGAAGTTGGACCTGACGTCTGCAAGTTGGACCTGACGTCAGCAGCCCCCCGCCCAGAGCAATATAAACGGCCCAGTCTCGTTCACGCCCCCTTCAGTCCTCCAGGCTACGCCCATTTAGAGGAAGATTTTAACAGGAAATGTGAGTGACGTAAGCTCCGAGGAGCGGGGGTGAGAACCACTTTAAGTAGGGGTGGGCGATATGGCCTAAAATTCACATTGCGGTATAATTTGGGACACAGACGGTAAACGGTATATATTGCAGTATAATTTGGTGTGTGAATTTCAATAGGTCTAGCAGGTTCTTGCATAAAATAGTCAAGATTGTTACTTATATATATATTAGAATCTAATATATACAATCTTTTAGTTCGAAAATCAGGTGTGTCCAGTCTCCACAAACAAAATCACCAGTATTTCATCCAGTATTTAATAAATTTTTAGCATATAATATTATTCCATATTAAAGAGACACCATACTTTTGAAATGCAGATTGAACTGAAGACCCTGTGGTTAGTGCGTAGGGTTGCCAACTTGAGAACAGAAAAATAAGTTTATTTAGACTTCTCTCAGGTTCCAGTGGTTTCAGTTGTTTCAATCTTTTCAGAAAGAATAAAGGCAGGACATGATTTGTATAGTCATTGTTACGTCACACATCGAAAGACACACGTGTCACATTCAGAAACACTCAGTGCATATTATAGTCATAAAATGGATACACAATCAGAGTCCTTGTAGAATCTTGCGTTTGTCCACCTGGTAGGTCATATAGCAATCTAATCCTCATACTAGCTTTAGCCAATCTGCGCCGGGTTAACCTCAAGTCCCACCAGGGCCCAACAGACTAGCATGGAGGAACTCCATTGGGCCCCGTGCAATTTGATGACATAATGACCTATCGCAATATGCCGGTACAACAAAAATCTCTACCGTTGGCCAAATTTGTTTCGCATACCGCTAAATACCGTTTACATCGACCAGCCTTATTATTAAGATTGGATGGATAATGGATAATTATTATGTACATAATCTTCATCTACAAAGCCATTATAGGAAAGCTGCCCTCATACCTGTGTGGGCTCCTGACTGAACTGGGCAGATTGACCTTTTCCTATGCGGCACCATGGGCTTGGAAAAAACATCCAAAACATGTTACAAAGTTAAAAGAACTTTGTCCCCTGGTCTCATTTAATTTTCTATTGAAGGAGAGATTGACTGAAATGTGCAGATGTTACTCTTGAGCTGGATATTTTAACCAGTTTGATGTATTTCTATAATGTCGTTGTTTGTGTATGTGTGTTAGTTGTTACTAAGGTGTTCTTGGCCAGAACTCCCTCATAAAATAGAATGACGAGTTTCAGGAAACAACAACCGCAAGTTTGAAAACCCAACTAGAGATTTTACAGTGCCTTTCAAAAGTATTCACCCCCTTTGGCATTTTGTGTGTTTTGTTGTCTAATTGTTTGAGGATCTGCATCAATTAATTTACAGAACATGCCCACAACTTTGAAGATGTTGTCTTTTTTTATTTTGAAGCAAACAACAAATAGGACAAAATAACAGAAGAGGTCAATGTGCATAACTATTCACCCCCCTAAAGTCAATACTTTGTAGAGCCACCTTTTGTGGCAATCACAGCTCCAATTCGCTTTGGATAAGTCTCTATGAGCTTGCCACATCTTACCACTGGGATGTTTGCCCATTCCATCCATCCATCCATTTTCTTCCCCTTAATCCATTTCTGGGTCGGGGGGGTGAAGTCAGAGCTGCA